TCAGGCCCCGCCGTCTAGCCTAATTAGTGGCGTAGAATCCATGAGCCCTGGTTTGTTTCCGAGAGACTCTTGAAAGCGTAAGCGTAACTCCGAATGACACTATCCACAACTGGCTCTGTGATGAAATCAACGACTGCTAAGCGAGCTCATAAAACTCGTTAATTTGAATAGCACCAGGCTACCATTCGTTTGAGAGGCCATGGAGGCCAAAGAGCCAATGACCAAACGGTGCCGATAGTGCCAACTTAATGAGACCGGGACAGGGTTCGGGGTGGAGTACACCCAGGGACCAAACCCTTTGTAGATTCAAGCTTGCGCTGCACAAGTCCGGCGGAGGTGTCAGCCAATGTGGGGTGGAACTAGTCTGTGGGGAAACCAGGCTGGGTTTTTCCTCCATTCAGAGGGATTTGTCGGGGTGCAATTTTCCTGTGGGGGAATCGGATGGCTTGATCGATGCCTGTCTGACGCAGAGATGCTGTGCCGAGGTAAGCAACACCAGTTAGCTTGACCAGAAACCCCAAGGACAGAGCAGTCAACGTACTTCCAGATTCAAAGGGAGAGCTGGATAATCTTCCATTGAGTGAGGTCATTAGTTGATGAAACAGGTAGTATTATAGGGAATGTGATGAATCTCGAGATGGAGATGATGACGGGGGAGTGCAGGATTCCAGCCCACAGTAAGAGAGCCCAGCGCGCACATGACCGCGACGCCACCACCAGATCAACTGCATTGTTACGAGATCATAATTTGAGATCTGAATAAGATAGTATGATTGCCCAATTCCAAACGATTTCTTTGACTAAATTACAAAAACTTTTCCAATTCCATCCCGACACCTAAACCAACAGCCTCCATGTCCAACGGTGGATGAGGTTCCAGAAAGAAGTATGTACACACACAATAGTAGGGCTCTATCACAAGATAAACGGGAAATGATTATGAACAGCAGGGGTGAAACAGGGAAAGACAATAATCCAAGAGAAGCTGTCCAAGAGAAGCAAAGTAACATTAAGAAACCGTATGTAACCGGGCCCGTGGATAGGCTGCTAGCCTGACGGCGACCAACTCCAGATACCGTGGGCCATTAGACCGGAACCAACCCGGGCCCGGCGGGGGGAAACCGCGGGTCCTGCCTCTGCAGGATGGCCGATGAATGCCGAGGGAAACCGACCGACGTATCGTACATCCCCGAACCGTCATGGTGAAAGGCCGATTTCGCGATTCGGGCCGAGGCGACAGGCTAAGTCGCCTTGAGTTGATCTTCGTAATAATACTTTTATCCGTCTATACTGATTCGAGACTCCAAATAAGTCACCCATAACCAGCGCTGCCGAAGACTTAGGCAGAGCGATCCAGAACCTCGTAGGGGTTGGAGTCTTTAGTGTCCACGACAATGGTCGAGCTCTGGAGCTCTTCCTTAGTGGCCTTCTTCGCGCCCTTCTTGCCGCTGACGGTCGAGAAACCCGAGTCGGAGTCAGCATCACTGCTGGCGACACGCGTTTTCTGCTTGGCAGCAGTTGCGCGGGTGCGAATAGGAGAGTTCTCAGCAGGCTTCTGCTGGTTCTTCTGTGCCCGAAGGGCCTGGATCTTGTTCACAGCCTCATCTTCGGTAGCTTCACTGGTCTCTCCGTTGACCTCGACGGCCTTGCGGATCTCGCGGCTCACGCCTCTCAGGGCATCCATTCCGGCTTTCTCAGCGGCGTGCAACTGAGTCGGCTGACGGGGACCGGGCTCCTTGCGGTAGAGGTACGAGCGAACGAAGAACCGGGCAAAGAGGTAGGTCAAAGGCAGAAGGTACATCACGTTGAGCCAGATAGCGAAACCCTGGCCGCTGGTGTCCATACAGGTCACCATCGGTCCGACATGGAGGACGCGCGCACCAGCAGCAGCTTCCGGGACGCCCACATTCTCGGCGATACCTTCCGCACCCGCAGCGCGGAACCCGAGCTTCTTGAGCCATGGCACAAGTCCAGCACCGGCAGTACCAGCCGGCACAGTCGGGGTGTCAACAGGAGAGGCCGGAGCGGTCTGGCCCACAGGAAGAGTGTAGCTGAAGAACAGGTAGGAAGCAGCCATGGTGGAGCCAATGATAAACTGGGTGATTTGCATGGTAGTCAAGGATCTCTTGATCACGGTGGGGACGCGAATGTGCAGGGCAGTCACAGTGTAGTAGGTGTACTGCATGGGACGGTCAGAACATATGAGCAACAAATCAAAAACAACCCGAGAGGGACGTCACATACCATCAAAGCATGAATTCCAGAGTTGACCAAGGTGAAGATCCAGATAGGAGCTGCGACGTAACGGATACCGGCCCACATGCACATCATGGCACCGGCGTGATGGTAAGTCTGCAGGGTCGAGCTCTTCTTGCCCTTGGCCAGGATGATGACGGTATCAAGGACCTCGTAGAACTTGGACAGGTAGAAAATCCAGCCGAGGAAGGCCAGACCCTCATTCCAGAGACGACCAAGATCGGAGGGGTCCGGAACACCGCCTGCAGCCAGGCTGAACTCGGGGTTGCGGAAAGTCCACTGGTCGACGGTAGAGTCGTACGTAGCCGCATTACCGTAACCTCGAGGTCCATTGATCTTGCACAGCGTATCGGCAACAGCTGCGACGTAGTTGGGATCATCCCGACTGGGCCACGAGCTGCGAAACGCACGGATCATGCCCGCAAAAGTCCATGCCGAGTAAATGGCCAGGAAAACGTTGTGGAGGATGACGAACAGCTTGAAGAGACGCGTCTGACTGAATCCATAAGGCTTGTAACCTCGGCTCTTGTTGATGCGATTGACGAGGACCACAGTCACAGCGTACACACTCGCAATCGTGATCGGAACGCGCACGTCCAATAGCTGGTTGTAGAGCGTCGGGGGGATGTTGAAGGGCTGGTTCCATGTCGGCTCGGAGATCACAGGGGCGGGGACAGTGGCCGGGAGCTCGCTGGGAGGGAATTTCAAAAGGGACGAAGGAGGCAGGCCGATGCGAATGACGGCCGGGTTCGCCTCGCCGTGGACGGTGAAGTCGTACATGGTCGGGACGCGATTTCGTGCGACTTTGGGACGACCCGACGATAAGGGAGAAGATACAGATGGAAGATTGAAGGAAGAATCAGGAGGGAAAGAGGATGAGAATTGACTTTAAGAAGAAATGGTGGGACAATTCAGTTAGCCCGAGCCGAAAGAAGAAAATCACCAGGAAATTTTCCAGGCCAAGCAAGTCCACTCGGACGACTGGATACTGGAGGGGAGCGCGCGCAAATCCCGCTGTGAACTGGGGATAAGCAGCAATTGTAAGGCGCGACCAAAACCTTACGCGAGCGTGGAGGAGAGGAGAGGGAGGAGGAGGATAGGCAACGGTTGGTCGAACGAACGGGGATCGCTGGTGACAAGGAGTTAAAGCAAGGCCGATGTGATTAATTCATAATTGAGGTCAGTCAATCTCCGGATTGCAGTTGGACCGTGGATCAATGAGAGTCACGATGATCGCGGCGAGTGGAGCCGCGCAGCGTTTTGTTGGGAATTCGGCCAACCTTCAAGCCTCGGCCCAACAAAGTGGTTACTGGAGAGCTCTGACATGCTTGTGAAAAATACTGATAAAGATGATGATAATGATGATGGATTTGCATTGGAATTGCATGGGGGTTGGGGGGTCCTTCCCCTTGAAGGAAGTCATCCTCCATCCTATAGTTACAAGCTGACTGCATTTGTTGGAGATGATATAAGATCTTGTTTCTCCCACTCACATGATGACCGGCCCGGATTCACTGAATATTTCTCCGCCTCGACAAACAAACCGAACACATCACCCTCCGCAATTGATCTCAACCGCATGAAAACAAAGTAGTACAACATCTTCCATTTTAGCTACAGATACTCCCCATTGCCCCAATCTACTCCCCTTTCTTATCAATCACCTAGTACAACGCACCCAGATAGGAATTGAGTTGCCTTGAAACGGCATGACATCAACCAGCGGAAGTGACAGCCATACCACGCCATTGAAGGATTTGGTTTTGGTTTTCTCCAACATTTCGATTTCCGGCCTTCCAGAAGCAGCGCAGTGGATCCCGTGACTGCACCATGACTCGTGGTGCTGACTCAGCGACTGACATCACCCGAACATCATTGACTGGATAAATGCGGCCCTCATTGGATGAAAGGACAAATAGATACTGGCAAGAACTGTTTGTAGTAAAAACGCAATTGCCTGGCAGGAATTGCCCTAAGCACAACTCTAGGTTTACACGAGAAGCTGCCCAGTTAGACGTTTGTCAGTAGATGAGGATTCTGAGCCTGACGGGTCAGAACGCACATCACTCGTATTTGTCTGTGATGATCATCAAGGTCATGCCGTCAAGTCTGGAGTTCATAATCAGGGAGATATATCGACTCATTGGGCGTGCGTTCGAATATTAGCAGCTTCTGCGGTCGTAGCTTACTGTTTCCCGTTAACACTAAATTAAGAGGGCAGACAGCAGTTCAATAGTGGGGAGTACATGCATGCTCAAATGAGAGGCCGTATTTTTCAGTAGCATTACTAGCATCTGGTCTATCTCCCATGTGTTACTCCTCATCGTCCTTCAATATAGGATACAAGCCTAGTACTACTGGATAATGACACAAGCTTGGTATGTCACCGACTAGTGTCGGAATAAAAGAAGTGCGATTTTCAAACCGACATTTTGATTTAACTACTCCCTTATGAACGCCTCCACGCGCAATACCCCGTCCGTTAATCCATTATCCATCAAAGTACCATTTCCGTATTTCACATACCAAGATGCATGTATGTACAAAAGCGAGAGTGGGTATGTATGTATGCACGCACGTACGTATCTTCACATGACAGGACTAGAAAATAGACAAAGCATGGAAAGCGAATGGGTAGCAACTTGGTATATCCGTCTTCCAAAACTGAAGTGAAGGTCGCTTGCTAATTGGAAACGAGGGGAAAGGTATCAAAAGAAATAGTTTTATTGAGTGAAAAGGCAGTTTCAATGACGCATAGCCGGCCTTCGCTCATCATCTTCAAATGACGATACAGACGAAACATCATCCATGTCCCTAGCATGGGTATATGATCGACGCGATATCTCAGATACTGCGTCGTCGAGTGGATGATCAAAGGGCGATATTGGACGGTCAAGTCTTGCTTCGGGGGAGGGCCAGGCAGCTGGCATAGTGGGCTGGGGGCTTCTCTCGGGGTTGTTGTTGTCTCTGCTGGGGACTTCTGCTGCTGCTGCAACTCCTGCTCCTGCTGCAGCATCGGCAGCAGCGGTAGCAGCGGTATGAAAGTTGTGGTTATTCGTACTTGGTGGGCTAAAGTCGCGGGGATAATTGTTGGTAGGATTGATATGCTCGGGTTCTTGCGGGACAGGGCGACCTGGGATGGGACCTGTGAAGGGGATGTCATGTGAATTTGTGGGCGCAAATTCCCATGTTGTGCCGTTTGCTGCTTGCTGTGGTCGTTGTTGTTGTGGAGGTGATCGTACTTGGCGAGGAACTGCGCCCATGCTGACTGGGGGTGGATTGTTGTTGGTCTGGGGTATGGTGGAACGGTTGCGTTTTTGACGCCTGCGTCTTAGAATGAAGAATAGTAGGGCTGCGATGATCGCTGCGCCAACGACTGCAATGGGAACCGCGATAGCGATGGTTTGGGTGTTGCTGCTAGAACTGCCGGAGCTGCTGGTGCTTTTGACAGCGGTAGTGGAGGTACTCGAGGAGGTTAAGGATGAATGGGTTGCAGTTGCGGTGGTAGTGATGGGTTGTGAGCTTGACTCACTAGTGGTGATCGGAGTCCATTGCTGGGTGGTTGTCCTGGTGGTTTCTCCGGGATAATACTCTGCTGTCGTAGTGTGCTCCGATCCCCATGGGTTCTGCGTGGTGAAATCTGACTCCCCGCCAGGGTTGTAGTTAGAGCCTCCACCTATGCCAGCCATTTTGCCAATGCTCAAATTCTGTTCTCGACTGGTTTTATCCCGCCTACGTGGTGGTGCAGAACAATGGGGGCTTTATATGTGCGTCGTGCCGGGATACAAAGGAAGGTGGGCAGTGGTGATAAATCTTAAGGAATGTAGTGGCCCTACACAAGGGCGATCTTTTATTGAACAAGGTGGGATATGCCGGACTCGACTATAGCAATGATTAAACAATGGAACACCTGAGATTCACGTATGAGCATGGACCTACCATATGGGAGCCCTCAGGCTGATTCTGCAGGCTCTTGTTGAGAAAGCTTTCTATACTAATGTACGTCGGGAATACCCAGACATGCCAGTCACAGAGCAAACAAAGAGCCTATACGCGCCTATGCGTATGTGAGAAATGAGAATATACGGGGAGAAATAAAAGAAAAGCACGGATCCTGCCCGGGAAATAAAGATGGGGAAAGAAAACTGCCCAAGCTAACACAAAGGAAGGCTGACATGGCGCAGCAGCTCCTAGTGAAGGGACTACTGAGGGTACCAAGTATAGTTCGGGACGGAGGGTCGCTCACTGCCAATCAGCAGTGAAGTTGGCGGCACAGCACGAAGCGCTGCCCACCATCCAGGACGACACGCATGCATCTCGCATTCGTTAGTCAACAGAGACGAAACAACGGACAAGCCTCTCCTCCTCGAGGCTCAGTTAGTACGGAGTAACTAGTAATTACGATAGGCGCCGACATTGACAGGTTGTTTAGTCTGGGAGGAGGGTTCCATCTAGCGCTGTCGTGGACCGGGACCGTTTATATATCTGCCCTATGAGATAACAAAGACAAGGCGCCTAGCAGGCATCCAAACAACAATTTTCTTTGGCTGCGAGATGGGATGGTGCTCATAGGGCCGCGATTTTGGTAGCCCTGAGACGGAGTGACTTAGCTCCAATCATCGGCCCGTTAGTCTGATCGACGCATTAGTTCGTCGCGTTAAGAGACCGGAGACGTAGCAGCGTTGCGTGGCCCCGACATGGGGGCCAAAGGATCCTTGACTGTCGCAGACAGCCAGTTATACTGCGGCCTAAGGAGATCCCAGGGATGATATGGGATCATCGCATACCCCGGATGACCAGCCGGTGTGTTTTTGGGACAAAAATAACTTAATCATGCAGTTGAAGTATGTAAGAAGAGTAAGCAGGAGCAATGCATGACTTGAAGTAGTTCGTAAATCCAGCGAATGGCCATCACATGACCCCGGAAATTGGAGATGGCCGGATCTGGTTAGGCGCGGGGTGGAGTGCGGACCGCCCGCCAAATAGGGACTAGTGTCACGGCACTGCCTCGCTCTTCTTATCTCTCCGGTCCCGGTCGGATCGGCGTCATTGCAACTACCTAGGTACTCCACTGAAACAACTTATTTGCTGGTTCAACGCCGCTGTTACAGATCATGAGTGGATTCAAGGGGGTAATGAAAGAGGGCTGGCACCCTAAGGGTAAAGATGGGAAGAAGGAAAGTTGGAGGAATGACTTCAAAGGCATAAATCAAGTGGTTAGTGTCTTCCACCCCCTGCTCCAATCAGGCCACTAGCTGATGTGAAATTACCTCAATCTAGGCAGGATGGATGGGGAAGGGGAAGGACAACACTAACGATCGTGAAGAGCATGTTTCGGCACCTCTTTCTTCGCTCAAGGACCCAGCATCTTTTGGACCACCGCCGAAGCATATCAAATATCATGGCGCTGCCGCTCTGCCGAATGAGACAACGCCGGATCGGAGAGGACTGGGTGCCCCGTTGCCACAAGAACAGATAGATCGTCAAAATGCTCAAGTGCAACAGCAGCAGCAACAAATGCAATTGCAGGAGGAGGCTGCTCAAAAACCAGCACCCCCGCCGCTGCCATATCGTGCGAACCGGACGGGTTTGGACACCTCTAACCTTCCGCCGCCCCCAGTCAGACGCATGGGTTCTCCAGCAGATTCCGTACCACCCCCCAGTTCCAGACCCAAACCCAATGTTCCGCCGCGACTTCCTTCTCGCAACAATTCGACTCCATCCCCGCACCCGCCTACCCCGCCCCCGGCTTACTCTCCCCATTCTCAGACCCCTACGCATGCCGAAGAATACATAAACCAAGGCGCTGCTTCCCGCCTTTCCCAAGCTGGTGTGTCAGTACCTGCACTTGGAATAGGAAATAATACCAGTCAGTGGGGAAGAGATAGCAGTTCTCCCGGTACTGCGTCCCCAGCAATTGCAGGCTCTGTCGGTCAAGCACCGGTGAACGAATTGCAATCCCGTTTCTCGCAATTGAGGACTACCTCCTCGAGCTCTCCTGCTCCTCCCCCGCCGCCAGCACGAACTTATACGAATGGCAGCACGGCCCAGTCTGTATCTAGCCCGGAGCCCAGAAGTGGCTCCTCTACAGTCAGTGAATTTCGGGAGCGACATAACGACAAGATCCAAGCGGGGAAACAGAAGCTGAATGGGCTGAACGAGAAGTACGGGATTTCCCAGCGAGTCAACAAGTTTTTTGACGATCAGAAGACTCCCAGCACTCAAGCACCTCCGGTGCCACCTCACCCGAATGCAAATAGTTCGACATCCAGTGTTGACACGGATGCATTGAGTAAAAGAAAGGCTCCGCCGCCACCACCTCCTCCAAAGAAGGCGGGGATGCGTTCAACGCCTGTCGCCGGGTCAGCCCCGACGCCGCCGCCTCTTCCTTTGAACACCAAGCCCCGTTGAGCGGAGGTCTTGACTGATGTGTTAGCAGTCCGCTTGGCCCATTGATGGGTCATGTATCATTAGTATATATATCGTTGCATAGCCATGTCACACTGTATACCTATTATTACTATGACTGTCCTGACATTATCAGGTGACAAAGTAGAACCCTGCCAACTACCGATTGCCAGGCTCTACGAACTGAAATTCATCTGGTCCCCCCCCCCCCCCCCCCCCCAAACAATGTTCAGAGAAGGCCACCACCCCCTCTACCAGATCGATTGTCCAAGCACGCAGCTAAGCCATCCATCTCTTGAACAAGCACAATCTGATCATCACATTTACGAGCGGTATCAAAGTCAATCAACGTAACTTTCCCACCACATATAAGAAAGTTAAACGGATTCGTATCCCCATGACAAACCCCCAGATCATGCAGCCGCCCCAATACCTCCCTGCAGCTCTCAACATCCTGAGACCAGCATACCGTGCATCTCTTATAAAGTCATCAGAAACCCGATCACACGTCCACTCTCCGTTACGTAGATTGGTTTCAATTGCCCTGCAAGCTGCCTAATATCCCGGTGACCACCAATAGCGATGAGAACATGATGTTAACACATGGCCTCCCAAACACGTCTTATGCTCAACACAGTCGAAGTATGTTCCTGGCTATCTAGTATCGACTTGATGGAGGACTCCAGATGCATTGCCGATTTAGACGCTGGCATCGAACGCACATCACACAGACTTCCAGCTTGGTGCAACGCAGTTTTTGTGCGTGACACTGGTCGCAGGCAGCACGGCGCACAGACAGATTCACAATGAACCCTACATAAGCTGAAGGGGGCTGGGTGGACATGATGTCAACTAGGGAAAGATAGGGCATGGGCTAAGTAGCGGATAAGTATTCTATATTCAGTTACTGAGAGTTCAACGGTCTATAAGATGAGTCTTGTCCTAATGGGGATGAAGCAGAGGAAGAAAGCAGGATCAGTTATCCAAACCCTGCTTAGTCTGACCAGGATGTTTGACTAGGTAGATGTGGCCCTGTGGCACAGCTAAACACCCTTAAGTGACTGTCCGGCGGACGCTGGACTCGCTCATTGATACATTGATATGTCGTTCGTCAAGTTGATCGTCCCATATTTTGGAAGAGGCATGATTTGCAAAGGTTGAGTGAAAAAACAGATAGATATGCCATTTGACTTCACCGAGTTTAGCCCTCATCTCATCTCACGTCAGCCTAAGGAGTGAGCACTGACCATTCCCCCCCCCCTGCTCCTCTTTACTATCATTACTCGTGTTTGCCGTCTGTCAGAGGATAACTCTAGGTATGGGGGTAATTATTTAGCATACACACTGTCTGTCTAATTAATTATACTACTTGAATCTGCTGCAACAGACCTTGACTAAATGGGCCTATCACGTAGCGTTCATTTATGTTGCAAGTCAATCTATACCCAGAGTATGTACAAAAAATAGCTTATACTATATATACATCCATCATCTATCGACCCTTGCCGAAATCGGGCTGATAGGCCTTGACCTTACCCTTGGACAGCTCCCTCAAAGCCATGGTGGCATACTGGCTCGAACCAAGCTGGAACTTGAGCACAATGGCAAGCTTCTCCTGCGCATTGGAGGACGGTGTCGCTTCACCAGAGGTTTCAGTCTCAGTCTTCTTGCCTTGGAGCTTCTCCAAGTCGGTCTGAACGAACTGCTCATCATCCTGGCTATACACGTGCACGTCGAAGGAGAAGTCGGGTCCGGGACGGTTGAGCAGCTTGCGGTAGCTACCTGTGAGACTAACCTCCCTCCACTTGCGACGCATGTCGAAGGGGTCGAGACCACCACCCTGGGAACTGCCCATGAACTGTTTGTAGAAGTCCGTCATCTTGTTGGGCGGGTAGAGGACATCGTACCCGGGCTGGGTCAAAACGACATCGAAAATGCTGTACTTGCCGCTGGCTGCTTCCTCGGCCGTCAAGGCACGCGCACGGGTGATTCCCTCAGAGACGTAGGCGCTGTCTCCCGCCTGCGGGGTGATGATGACTTCGCCATCGGCGTCAACGTCGCCCGCAGCGGCAGCTGCTCCGGCGTCTTCCTTGTCGTTGTGCTCGTGCACCAGCACGAGATCACCCTCCACAACCTTGTCGCCGTACAGGCGCCAGCGCTCACCGGCGGCAAAGTTCCACACCAGGGACTGGTAGGCGTGGACATACATCAATCGCAGATTACGTGGGATGGCTTGGAGAGCGCCAAGGTAGTCGTTCTGAGCACGGCTGAGTTGACGCATGACGGTGGATTCCGCAGCGAATTTACGAGGAAGCTTCTCGAGAGCCTTGTTGGCGTTTCCGGTAGTTTCGAAAATGTGGATTGCCTCTGCGCGGGCCTTGTCGTCGGAGCTGACCATGGCAGTCGAGTTCTCGCCCTCCTGAGCGGCAGCCAGAGCATGAGGGCTGTACTGGAGGATAGCATCGCAGGCGCCCTTGAAGTCGCCCTGGAGCATCTTGACGCCGACTGTGTCTGTGCGTGTAGCGAAAGTTCCGAAACGTTGCAGACCAAAGTAGTTGAAGTAGCCACGCTCGCGGAGATTCCGTAGTGCGGTGCCCACGACGTCCTTTGCCTTCGCAATGGCAGCTTCGCGGTTGCTGAAGTCAACACCCGGAATATCGCACTCACGGAGACTGATGACGAATTCGTTGCCATTCAGATCTCCTAGATCAAGGCCATGTTTGCAATGCTCGAAGTCGCCAAGAGCAGCATTGCGGAGCGTAGGGTTGATCTTTGCGAGGCGCTCAGCATGTAAACGGTGCGCACAGGCTCTCTGAACAGTGACACCGCGGCGGTCCTTGGTTCCGGCGAACTGGAAGTTCTTCGTGTTAATCTTCAGCTGCCGCGAGATGAACGAGAGGACTTCCATGGTATCCTTGTTCTCCTTGTACAGAGTGAAGTGCAGATAGGGACCACCCAGCTCATCCCAATTGACCGGCACACGGGGGCGTGCATTGTTACGTCCACCCTGCGCACTGCGGTTGTTCCGGTTTGGCGCAGCAGAAATAACCATCATTCCTTCGCCATCGGTTTGAGACTCGAGTTGCGATTTGAAGATGCGACGGATAGCCTGGTGCATCTTGATGCGCAGGTCGCGGTCATCGACAACAAGAGTGGGAATCTTGGGCAGGTCGCTCGGCTTCGATTTGGGATTGAGGACGGCACGCTTGTTCAGCGATACAATCTTCTTGGTGGATTCTTCGCCGAACAGGGATTCAAGCAGGGCCATGTCTTCCTCGGGGATCTGGAATTCGGGCGTGCTCTCTGCACTAGGCGCAGCATCCTTCTCTGCAGATCCTTCTGGCTTCTCCTGTTGGTCATTCTCTGCGGGTTTGGGCGTGGGAGTTTCCACGGGCTTAGCCTTCTCCTGTTCTGCTTCCGGGGTGGGGATATTGTGTAGATGCAGGACTTCGCCGGACGGTACGATCTCGTTGACAAGGAAGTCGGTATATCTAGTAGAGATGTCGGTAAGCGCCTGTATATCAACAGAGTTTGGGCCGTATTTACCTCTTCTTCAGAATGCCATAAAATCCTTCATTATCGCCACTGACAAACTCGGTGATTCCAACCTCGAGTTCTCTCGCCTCCTCCGCGGAGAGTTTGGCGGCGTCCGATGGCGCAATTGCCTCGTTGGAGGGAGGAAGGGCAGCATCATCGGTGATAGGAGTGTTATCAGTCTTGAGCCGCTTGCGCGGCGACTCAACAATATCGGCACCTTCCATAGTAACGGTGGCTCAAACTGTAGTAGTTGCAGCACCTAAAAGTCATGAGCGGCTCCAGTCTGGAAAAGTTACCGTCACGTTTTTGCTGCTCCGCATTGGGCTAAAGTGGGGCTAGCCCTAACGTGGTCGAATGAGGAAGTCTGTTTACATGATTTGATCTATACTACTGACATACTTTCATTCAATATCCTTTCAACAATTGTAGCAAATGTACCAAGGTGGTATGCATGAATATTGTCGGAGTTCTCCTCTGCTTGACGTATATTCATATGTAGCTATGTACGTATATATTGTACTAATTGCTCCAGCCTCTCTCTTTGTCTCTCGCATTGATTGGAAGTACGCAGACAGAACTTTTCGGTTCCCAGATCTGCCATGAGACTAGCCTTGCGTCACCCATATTCTGGTCATATATCCAGATGTCGAGATGTGATAGGTCTCATACAGTACATCCATATCGAAGAAGACATGCAGCCATGCAGATACCCAAGGATGTGCTTTTGAGTATACCTCTGAACAATACACATGAGCATATTTATGAATCTTTTGATTCTGCCGCAGATCCACACAAGTGGTCCTTGTGGCGCAATCGGTAGCGCGTAAGACTTGCAAGTACCCCCTACCACGCCTTAAACAAAACTTCCCACCAGGGGCTTTCAATAATTTTTTAGGCATCTGGGTGCTGTAGTGGGGATCATTGTGTATACTCTGAAGATATTCTGACCAGAGGGGGCCTGGTCTGATTTAATAAGAGAAAAGTACGTGGGTGAATCCTGTAGTCTTTGACTCAATCACAGTAGATGATTGGAGATACGGAGCATGAGCAGTTGATTGAGGAGATATGTCAGGGTATTCGGCGGCATGGTTCCATTCAGGCATCTCTCTAGGTTTCTCTATATCAGATACTACATAAAGGGTTCTTGCAGGTTTTGGAGATCTTCTCTGCAGGTCTGGTTTACACTTCTGCTTCAGCGATCAAACCTGCAAGGATGTGGGTTGTGAAGATCTGGCTTTTATGCCTCTATGTATGATGATACAACATGATAAGCATAGCTCCTTTGGGTATACGCAGTATATCAGTTATTAGTGGAAAGACAGAGTGTGTCACTCAGCTATTTAGGCAATCACATGTGCACTGTAATATGTCTTTACTAGTACATACCACAGACTTCCTACGTCTCTTGTCATGCGAGTATTGTCAGACCTCAAACCGATACTCCTGGGGTTCGTTCAGAAACAAAGGAACAACGTAGGTGTTAGTGCATGCTGCCTAGAACCTCGATATGGCCACCATGACATGGAGCCTTAGCATTACAGCTTTACCCCCAAATCAAGGAAAAGATATTCTAGGCTCATTCACTATTAGCAGCAGGTGTATTATCAAGTCACCATCTACGGCAAATCCCGACTAAGCTCGACAAGATGGATGGTACGTACAGAAGACCACAGCAAGATTCATTAATTGGCCTACCAGCCTAGTATAGTATCCATTAGGCACATCAGGCTCATGTGTAGGCTCCTACATGCATTCCAGGCTCCCCTGTAAGAGCCCTATACTGGAGACTCCCGCAACAACAGCAGTTACACATCTCCAAATCCCATTCCCACCATAAGCCCTAAAAACTCTCCACCCCATATAAACCCCCTATAAAACGCATTCTACCACCACCAAACACCCTACCTCAGGGTCCCTCACCCCCCTGCTCAGCAGGCCAAGGACTCAACCAAACATGGACACCCTCCTCTACCCCACCCTCCTCCACGACCTCCATCCCCACCTCGACATGAGCCACTGGCCGACCCTCGACCCTCACCTCTACCCCTTCTACCCAACTACCACCACCACCACCATCCCCCTCCCTCCCCAAACCACCCACAGTGACCCCATCCTCGCCCGGCGCCTCCGCCTCAAAGAATCCGGAATAACCTTCGAATACTACAAGAAACTCTTCTACACACCCCTGGACAACCTCATCCTCATAACCATCGGATTCTCACTCGAAACTCTCCTCACGAACATGCCCGAATGCGATACTCTCGCTCACACCCCAATCAACAGACACCATTCGCACTGCATCTTCGCCATATTGCGATCCGCGAAGCAGCATCTCACACATTCTCTCCGGACGGGGAGTTTCGCTAATAAGGCGATTAATCGGACTAAGTATCATGTGCTGTGTAAGGTTGCGGCGAGGGGGGAT